GACGGCTGAAGTCAATCATCAGCTGCCCATTTCTGGCATAGAGAGCAGGAAGCTTTGAAGGCTTGACGTGAATCTCCGACAGGGGTCGCCGAGAATATGTAGAGATATCCACAGGGTAAAGAATATTTGTTTAGAATGGACAATACACATATGCTCATATTGAGTGAAAGTTGTCGAGGTCATCTTAGAAACCGGGGCAAGAACAGCTCCTACTCGATTTTCACAGTGTTCAGAGGAAGCTTGAAAGTGAGGCGAGAGACATTGCTAGCTCCCACATCTTGCAGACACACTTCCCTCGCGCTCTCATCCCTGCCCCTCAGCTTGACTGAGAGACTAGCTGCTCTACTTCGAACAACTGACGGGCCAAAAATGGGGACAGTCCAGACTTCCGAGCTGAAGAGGCAGCAACTCAAGAAGCGGCATCCCGAAGGCAGACAGGTCGCTGTAGTTGCTCCCAAGAAGACCGGAATCTGACTGAATCCACGATTCTGCCCGAAGAGGTTGATGTCGGCCAAACGATACCAGCATGAATTCATTCAAGTATCTAGTTGTGGAGGCACCTTCCATGTTCCATGGACCTTTCCTTTCCTGTTTGACCTTTTCTCGAACAGAAGTAGCAAAAGAGCGTATGCCCCTGAAAGACTGCTGTCGGACTTTGCAACATCGGAATGCGGGAGAAGAACGATGAGGAATGACGGGTTGATAGTCTGTGGGTCTATGGAATGTTCGGCCGGTTCAGCTTCTTTCTTGATTTGATCAGCAAACCCGGGCGGGCCATCCCGAACGATAGAGCCTCTTAGGCCTTCAATTAACCTTGAGCGAGAAACACTTGACTGTAGCCAGTACGAAAGCCATATGAATCGTTGAATTGAGGGACAGTGGTGTAGAGGACTGGGGGAGAATAGTCGCGTCTAGCTTCGTTGTAGCCTGCTGATGAAGGCACCCTTCACCACGAGTGAGACACTCATTACATGTGGTGGGTTGCAGCCCCCTCCTTTTCCCCCTTTTCTGATGTCCTCCTTTTCTCATGGCTCTTGATTCGCCCAAATCGTGCTGCGGCAATATCCATGGACTGAGCAGCCCTGTGTGAGAGCCCAAGAAGCCGACAGGTCGGTGCTCCCGTGGCGGGCTTCCATCGGTGACCTGTAGAAAGCTTGTTCGCTGTTAACAGGGCGATGATGCCTCACTTGAAGATGGGGAAGGGATTGTCCACCGGCTGGCACATCATTTCAGTTGCTTTCGGAACAACCACCTGCCTCCCTTCCACGATGAACTGTTACATCTTTTCAGCTTGCTCCAGACCTAGCAGGTACTATGCTGTCGTTGCAATTAAATAGCGACACTCGCAGGGGCGTTGCTACTTTCAGTTATTCCTTTTCTTCTTATTAAATGAACAGTTATGAATTTAGTTTCCTTGTAAGGCTGTCCAGTAATAGTATTCCAAGTAGACTTTATTTGCCGGAACCGCGAATGAGAAGTGAACGAGAAACTGGCTTGATTCTATTCGACTGAAAGACATATCTTAACTTTTCCTCCGTTGCATGTCATCGCCATCAAACTTGGAGACCAGGTCGTGAGTTCGGTCAAAGGCTATATCTGTGGATTACATTTGTCGGTAGTTAAAGGACTGGCACGAATTTGGGCCGTTTGCGGCCACACGTGCGAGCCCAACGCTCACTCGCCCACTCCAACACGACAGACTAGAACCAATTCTGACATCGTTGCGACGTCGTGTTTGAGCTTATTTGAACTGCATTGCAAGATCAGCGAGCACTTGTTTTGCTGGAGAAGACACTGTGCCTATGAGTCTTTGTTGTGGTCTTAAGAACCGATCAGTTCGATCAAATGACTTATAGAGCGCATCTTGAAGAACTTTTGTGAATGAAAGCCATGACCAGATCGGAGGTTTATTGGCACGCCTCAAGACAATCAACTCAGCCTTGATACGAGTAGACAGGCCCCGCGCGCGTGAGCACTGATCCCAGCAGCGCATCTTGGAATTGCAGAGCGGACACCCTTCAATAGAGCAGTCGTCATCAGGAAAGGCACAGTCGCCAAGCCAATGGCTGTGCTGGCCACAATTCGCTCAGGTATTTTGTTCTCTGTATCGATCATCTCTCTCGAAAGCTTTGGTCTAATGGAGCTGGATCCTGATTTGCTCATCTCCGGACAATGCATACTTACCCAAACAGGGGGCCAAAGTTCGCCATGCAATGTCGGATCGGTGCAAGTTACGTCCCTTCTTGTCGCCTTTTGTTTGTCTTGTTTGTCTTTTTACTCTGGTGCTGTAGTCCTTCTCCATCTCATCACCATGGTCGAGTCGTTTAGTCAGAGCTGAACCCTTTCCGATTTGCGAATACGCGCCGCGTCACTGATTGGGCTCTTGGAACGGCGCCTCTCTGCTGCAGTGTAGTGATCTGTCGTGTGGCGCAATGGAGATTGACTGCGCCATGAAGAGGCCAGCTGATTTTCGGTCTGGTCTCCCAATGGAACTGACTGGCTCTGGCCCTCGGTACCAAAGCAGGCGGTCCGCTCGTGGCTCCCCAAGCAACCGGCTGGTTTCCGCTCTGGTCTGCTAGCGGTACTGACTGAATGCTCGACTGATTCTGGCCCTGGGGTGGAACTGGCCAGGGCCCCCAAGGAAGCGGTTGGAATTCACTATGTCGTAGCCATCATCATCAAAGTGAAACGACTCGAGACGACGCTGTGCCAGCTGCTCTATCTGTTCGTGAATCGCTGGCAGTCGATGACCGTCGTCCTCCCCCGGCTCTATACGGCGCCTTCTGGGACTTCCACCAGGGGCTCCCTGTCCATTGACAGAGGCTTGAGTCTTTGCGAGACTCAACTCCAGTCTTGTGGTTGCCTCTGGACTGGTCTGCGTTGCCGATTCCATCCGCACAATGGTTGACGTCTCTTGTAGACGCTGTACGGTGCCGAGTGCTTCTTGGATGGTGACAGCTTCCTGGGGCCTCTGCTCTTTGGTGCCGTCATTCCATTTCGCGATTTGAGTTTCCCATGTAACCGCCATTTCCAAGTGATTTTGTGGCGCGCCAATTTACGCGTTGAGTGCGTCACTTCGGGTGCGTTCAATCTTGATTTGGTCCTGTATCAACGAGACGACCTCGTTCTTGAGGGCCTCAATCGACTGATTCGCTGTTGCATGCGCTGTAGCCTCGTTGTCTGCTCTGGCTCGCTGCTTGTCGATCTCTTGGTCTCGCTGATTAAATGTTTCTTTGACACGTCTCAAATGGTCGACCTACTCCTCGAGGGCTTAATCGACTCATTTGCTGCTGCATCCGCAGTAGCTTCCTTGCTGACCCGGGTCCATTGCTCTTCGAGATGCTTGTCTGACTGGGCAAGTGCACTTTGGGTAAAACCCAGCGTCTCTTGCTCCCTCCCTAGCTGGACCTGTTGCTGGGGTAGCGTCTCCCTGCTTGACCGTAGTTCCGCTTCGACTTTGGCCGTCTACTGGGTGAGGTCTTGCTCTCGTCATCGATATGACTCTCTTCAATATTGGCCAACCGGTCTTGCTGATTTTGCAGCTCCTCCTATAACAAAGCAAGCGTGCCCTTGCTCGACCGTAGATGCTCGTCGACTCTGGTCATCTACTCACTGAGGTCTTACTCTCGTCGCTCACGTGCCTTCTCCATATTGACCAGCTGGCCCTTTTGACTCTAAAGCTCTCCATCTCGCATGGCAACTGTCTTCTTCAACATATCTATTGCGCGCTGCAGGGGCCTGACTTTTTCGGAAACCTTCTTTATAAGGTCGTCTCTTTGCTTACGAGTGCGAATCAGGTTTCTGTCAAGGTCTCTGACCGTCGCATCGAGGTTGCCAGTCTTGGCTGTGTTCTGTCTGTTCATATGATCCGCTCAGATCTCCGAGGGTGCTCGATGATTATTCTGTCTCTTTTCCAACTCTCTCTGAGCCTTGGTTGTCTTATGCGAGGAAGCCTCCAACGTTTGGCGCTGCTCTTGAATTTCTCGCTAGATCTTTCCCAGACGCTGCCTCGATATGGTTCTTTAGATAATCCCGCTGGGTAGCAAAGGCATTCAAGTCGTCGTCGTGATTTTTGATGTAGGCCTTGAGGCTGGTCGGCATACCGTCCAAAGCTGTTCTCACTGCAGCAAGTTACCGAGTGCTTATAAGTGCAACGGCGACATGTTGTGTTCATCATCTTCATCAGCTTCAATTGTCTCATTCTCGGAGGTCCCGCGTTTCTTAGAGCTCACGAGACAACGACATACATGCTTTTCGATGGATGTAGCTCGCCAACAGAAAGGGCACTACCGGAAGTCGTCGACCCCGCCCGAGCCCTCATCCCGGCCCGACGCCGGGGTCTCCATATTTCTCCCGGAATCTCTGCCTTTGTGTCTTGAAACTTAGTTCCGCGCCGACAGCAACACTGCAAGCAGCTCGCGTCACATGGAGATAAGGTAGCCAATGGATGCATCCGATGCACGCCGACAGGTCGATTTCCCACCGTTACCTGCTCGTCTCTTCCACGATTAGACAGGTGTTGGAGGCCGACGAGCAAGCACGATAGAGCTGGACTTAGCCGTAGTCTAATTTAGCAGTTGAAGAGGTATCCGCAGGTTGAATCGCTAGGTGGACGAAGCCTCCCGCATCCTGTGGGACCTTGGTGCGTTGGCCCCCACCAGAGAGCGGGGTCGCTTGTCCGCCGAGTGAAGATCAGAGGGCTCACGCATTTGCTGTTAGAGAATCACATACTGGTTTCCAACTTGATAACGAGAACAAGCCAATATCGATTCACTACTTAAGAAAGAAGTTCAAACGGTACGTTCTGTACTGAAGATGCAAAAAGAGTCCCTCGCATAGATTCGAAAGTCGTGCGCAGCATTTAACCGACTTTCAACGCCCGAACGCTGACTGCCTTTTTCCCCACGTCGCGGGGCTTTGCGGCCATGTATCGTAGGCCAATCACAAACCGATACTCCACCATCTCCAGAGTAACGTAGCCGGGTAATCCCAGCAAGCTCTCAATCCTGGAAGAAGAAGGTGGTGGGACCGATTCGGGAATACTACAGGACATTCATGCTTAGTCATCAATCAAAGCTAATAAGAAGCCACGGAACGTACCTGGGGCGACATGTCGCTGACGTCCCAGCTTGCACAGTGTTAGAACACAAAAGACACTGTGTGTCAAGTACGCTAGCAACTTACAATTGACCCGAGCCAGCACAGGATTCGAGTTCCATTGGGTACGCCGGCAGCATATCCAATTCGTTGTTGGAGTGAACATCGAGGACGACGTTTCCGGCAGCCTGGGGAAAGCCACTGTTAGGGGGAAGATACCCCAGGTTCTCCTTAGCCTGGTACTTTGGGTTCGCTTGAAGTTGCGCGACTACCTGATTGAACGGCGCCAAGTACGGTGAATTCGCACTGTCAGCGCCGTTTCGAGGTGTGTTGTATTTGTTGGAGCAGATGCGGCATCTCTTCTGGTGACGCTTGATATTGTCCCTGTGGTGCCGCAGCATCTTGTTACAGGCCATTCTGGCTGGTGGGCCGTGTTTGGCTGTCATGTGCCGCTTGAGATTGGCCTTGGTCGAAAATGCCTCCGACGTACAGTCAGCTACCGTACACGGGAATGCCTCCCTCGTCTTGTCTTGGGGGTCTTTCATAGATGCGGTATTTTCGTTTTGCCGAGACCCCGTAAGATTAAATAGCCAATGAGAATGCAGTGATGATAAGGAGGTATATGGGCCTGAAGATGCCCCAAAGGCGACAGTCAGAAGTCCGGGGCATCGATTGAAATGTCGACAGAAATGTCGAGAAGAATTTTGGTTCAACATCAGGCGAACTGTTCGCAAAATCTCGCGTTGATGTCAAGGCTGGTGAGGCAGCGGGACTTGCCTCACAGTCCTGTGTAACCGCACCTTGTCTAGCGGGGGGGCAGCGCAGAGTCTCCCGGCCATTCTACCACCTGTTTCTACCACAGATACACCAATTTCGTCATTGATCACCATTTTTCAACAGTACTGTGAAGTCCGTCTAAGATTTCTCATAGTCTGAGAATTTTCCGTGTACTTTGAACCGTTTATTTGTGGCTGTTAGGTGGTGATAGAGGTGAATACAGGGCCGTGATTCTGCAGTCTTTTCCGTCACGCACTTGCTACCTATATCACACGACTAGTGGGGCTGGACACTTTCACCCTTGTTTTCTACCTCATCTTCAGGTATAAGAGAGTAAGCTATGATTCTACTGGATGTGCCTCGATCCATAGAAGACCCCCAGAATCGTAGACTATCGCTCTCCAATCTATCCACCGACTATGCGTAGTTCTCGAATACATAACTACCTTGCGTGCTTGCCTAGCGTGCCTACAGGCCTACTTTGCAGGAGCATGAGCATTCGAGCCGAGCCAAATTTAAAGTCCGAGTTGAATAGATCTCAGTATTCCTAAACATACCTACTTTTCGATGTACTTGGGCGAGTTGTTTTTGCGCTTCGCTTTGGCATAGGTCACAGATTCGAGGGCTGCTTTCCGGATCTGACAAGACTTATGGAGTGCTCATACGCCTCCTGATTTGGAAGGGCAGAGCACTCGAGACCTCACATCCAAATTCTCATGAATGTGTGTTTATTAAGCAGATTCCTGGTTATCTTCTCTGGAGAGTACTCACCTCTTTTGAGGTCCCTGTGGGCTGGAAAGCAAGAGTCGGCTTTTGCTTCCAATTGGACGAAGCCTTGTTGGAGAGTCAAGTGGAAAAAGCACTCCACTGCTCTGCATGCCTGTCGGCCGATACTCGACCAATGACAAAGTCTGTACCAAGTTCTCTAAGCCGACATCGATCATCCTGCAGCTTGCCAGAGCGCCTAGTCAGTTGCCTTGCTTGGCCGCGGCTCAAGTCGTTCGCCTCCTGACTTTTCGGGGGTTCAGCTGACCCCTACTTCGTACCTTAGATAGACAAAGTCAACAACTCTCTCATCAATCTTGAGCTGTCTCTGCGAGTGCGCCGGGTTTCTCAGGTAAGCGGCGAGTCTAAACACCTGAGAGCCTTGTTTCCCTCCTGGATCGGCAATGTAGTTGCATTTGTTCATCCATTTTCTTCGAGTAATTAGTTCACTATTCTTTGGTAGTCATTCTAAGCAATACATTCGTCTTACCATGTAATCTCACCTTTGAGGCGTCAGCTTGACCAAATCCTTTAAATCGTCTCTGACTCCGTCTCAGCGGTCACTACCCTCTTCCGCTTTCTCGTCCTCGTCCTCTTCCTCCTCCTCGTCCTCGTCCTCTTCCTTCTCCTCGTCCTCTTCCTCATCCTCTCCCTATTTACCGGCATAATCTCTAGGCCAGGCGATCAGATTCCGCCCAATGACGAAGCTGCTTAAGATACAAGACTCGCCACAGCTCACTACTAATCAACAAGAGAATTACATGATTGATCAAACCCACCCGCCTTCATCCCCGACGGCTCAAACAGGGGCCTTGCCAGACTGGCAATCATCGAACACATATTCAATCGATTCTTTCGACACGAGGCATACAAACAAGCGACCTGCGTAATCACAACTTCTCCTCTCCGATCCGAACCTCAACAGTTGTGTCAGTAGTTTTCAGGGCGGCGCGTGGCGGCGTGTAGTTTCGCGGTAATGAAGGGGTTTTTATCATTGTTAAGGCTCTCGCGGAGCCAAATTGTCCAGTCCCGCCGAATAGGTCTCACAACGTCATTCCCGTCGGTTCAGAGGTCACTCCCATACAATATTTGAAGGCCATGGCATATACGTTCAATTGTGTTAAGTAATTTAACATGACAACAGCTGTATCATAGGCTGCCCTCTCCAACATCTTTCTGGCTCACTTCCCAGTCTTGCCTAGGTAAACCGCCGCAACAAATTCTACTTTCGCGGGACACGATGAAGTCATTCTAAAGCAACAAGACATCCTTCATAATCCCAACATGCTTCAAGCGCATCTTCCTCGCTCACCATTATGAGTCTAGGTGCACGTGCTGACTAACACCTCCCAGGGAGGGACCCGGATGCCGCGTATTTTGAGCCCCGATACCTGTAGCAACATCGACCGCGTGCTTCTGCCGGACAGCCCTCTTCAGGAAGACCTCGACACTTGATAATAACATATTGTATTCTAATCCAACCACTCTTTCTTCATATTCGCCACTGAATAGTTTCAAGTAAAGCTGAATAGAGAAAAGCTAGACACGGACGTACTGACAATAGGATAGAACTAACGACGGGCCTTTCGACCGATTGCTGCAATTCAACGTCGGCTCTGGCGGGCACCCCCTCGTTTGTGGCGACGCCTTCTTCCACACCTTTGCGGAGCCTACCAGTGTACTCGAGGATCTCATTTGCAAGAGATTCTGCCTTTTCGTTACTCAACGGCATCATGGATACTGCCGCGACAACATAGCGCAAAGGCCTGACGAACTCATGGCCTTGAATGTTGCGAGGCTCCGGGTACAAATTAGTTGCGAGGCATGACCAGACTATGGAGCAACGCCTCCAGTAACCCTCCGACTCTTTCCCCGCCCTTGTATTGAAGCGATCGAGGTCGCACGTAATGCAAGACTCGCCAAACGGCACGGGGAGTTGGAAAAGGCTGACTATGCGGTCTGCCATCGCGGCGGCCTCCAAACGATAGCGTATGAACTCCAGAGGATCCGCAAGGCTATAAGAGCGTTTCTCCCTTGGGATCACAACATCAGTGGAGAGTTGTTCCAAATAAGAGCGGTCCCTATCACCCCAGCACCTGCTCCAATCTCCGGGACAAGTCTCGAGGAGAAGTTTGGCCAGAGGGGGGACGCGTTGTTGATGAACGAGATCCTCCATTCTCTTTTGCACCTCAGGATCACTAGTCTGGCTTGACGGTCCCCAGTCGTTGCTGTCATCCGGATCACCAAACAGCCTCTGTGCCTCATCTCCAGAGAACTTGACAGTTTCGAGTGCATCCCAGCGTGACTGGAACTGTGCTAACGGCGTACCTGTGCGCTTGATCCAGGGCCAGGACCACTGGTCGTCCTGGGCACTAAAACATAATCCTTGGTCATACGCCATTCGATGGAGTTTACCCAGGCAAGTATCGAGGATGGACCAACAGAAGCTTCTGTATGCCTCCGCTTGGATCTCGTTTGGCCGGTCGGGCTGAAGCCTTTCGATTTCTTTCCCATCGCTAGCTTCCCCTCCCCCATCCTCCTCATCATCATCCTCCGCAGCAACGAGAGGGTTTCCCTTGGATACCAGAGTCGCAATCACCGAACTGACAAAGATTGACCCGTAAGCGCGCTTACTGGCGCTGGGAGATAGCACCCACGATTCAGACTGTTTCCCTGGCGTGGCACTCAGTGGATGTTGGTTGTTGCCCGTCAGGTCTTTGCCAATCCATCCCTCAGCATAGCATGCCGGTGTCAGGATGGTCGCGCGGCACCCATCTGCGATCGCCTCTCTGAGACGATTTACTTCGAGCCCTCTCTCGTCATCAGACGCATCCAGAAGGAACCTATGGTCAACGAGTCCATGAAAGAAGACCATGATAAGCAACAGACGGTCGTGCTGTGCTGCTTCCGCCGAAGCGCGTTCGACCTCGTTCAAGAAACGGTCAATCATGCCTTGAGGCTCAACGACCACGGGTGGTGTGATCTCCCCGTTCTGGAGCAGCGAGGAGCTGAGGACGACCTTTTGTTCTTGATACGGGTTCCCATGCAAGTAGTTTCCATACGTCTCAAGCAGACGTTCCGGGTCCTGTCTTGCGTTAGCGTCGGATGCAGTCAGGAGGCTATGGGATACAACTTACTGCTGCTGTCAACCAAGTTTGTGAATGCCCCAAGCCTTTGAACAAGTAGTTGAAGGCATAAAAGTCGGACAGAAACCGTCCATTACGGCTCTGGACGCCTGTCTCCAGGTCTGGAGACGCGACCGCAACAATGACGGTGTTGTCATCGATGTTGGGGGGCGTCTTGGTGACGAACGAAGGTGGTGAAGTGACAAGACCAATAATCTCTTGCGAATTGAGCATAGTGGCGAAACCGTGTTGCAGAGACTTTTTCTTTTGAATATGTGTGCGTAATTGTGATGTTATTTCTAGGATTGAGGGGTTTTTCAACGTCTCGTAACATCTTTCTCCGAACTGCACTCCTGCCGCTGCCGAAGGGGGGTCTTAAGCAGTCCCCAAATATGGGCGGAAATCACCCGTGAGCTCATAAAGGTGTCTTCTCCAATGAATAGTGTCCTTCCAGGTCCCCTAGCTTGGTAATTGATTAACCCATCTAGTACTGTTCTAGGGTGAGGTCTATAGTCGTTCAGGCCAGACTTAGTTGAACAGGAAAGGTGACATGCATACCTAGGTGTAGTCAGAAGACGATGGTGGAAGTAACGGACCGTCTAGATAAGAGGTATTTAAGGAGGCAACTCATAATAGAGAGGCTAGATGATAGGCTCTTCACAGTCCTCATGATCTTTGAGTAAGTGCAGTAAGGTAAATACCACGATCAAGATCACCACGTAATCGTTTTATCTAGCCCCCTATCTTTTACCTCCGTGTTCTTTCTCTCGGCGTCAACTTCGTCCTCATCTTGATCCTCGTCATTGGCACTGAACTCGCCCTTCCCGCACCTGGGTAGCGACGCCATAACGTAAGGTCCTTTGCCACCGGGTACAGAGAAAGAAAGCGCACCGCCCACAGCCTTTAGTTACTATCTTCGAGAACCGGTGCCGGACCGCGCTTCGTGATGTCCACGCTTCCATGTAAGGCTGTGACAAAAGCGATAGGTCTAGTCACGGCCCTCCGACTGAGGCCAAGGAGACCGATCACGACTGCATTCGGACTTTCTTACACGACGAAATTACAATTGAGCCTCAGGTCATAGCCCCGTACGCCGACACGGACTGGCAAGTGGGTTCGCATGGTCATCGCAACTTTTTGCTCTACCAAGAGAGCAAGTTCCCATTGTAGCATGACTGGTATCTCGGTAATCCGTAGCAACCATCATCTGACTCATTTGCTATCTCACTCACGTCAAGGCCTTTGGTAACGCAATCACGTTGGAGTGCCAAGTCATACCCAAAATACTCGTCGCTAAAGATGACTTCACATCGATATGCCCGCAATTCCCATCATGATGTTTTGCAATTTGGCGGGATCCTTGTTGCTCTTGCCGGCGAAGAAATGGGCAAATGAAAAGTTAAAGTCGACTGAGGCCACGAATATGCTCATCTTTGGTGCCCGTCCTCCAGTAACCTTCCGATCATTCATCCCAGCTTTGCTCAATATGCAACGGCTCTTTTGGAGTCTCTGGATGGCTGCACTCCATCTCGCATTATCTTGGAGGAAAACCTAGAGTCTCCTGATAGCTGAGCGCCTTGAATTGGCCCAGAACCTCCAACAGAAAAGAGGCGAGTTGGATATCTTAAAGTTCCCAGCGATCTTTTCTCCGCTTCGTGTCCCTTCGTGATCAAAGCGAATGTCTGGTGACGTCGGCACTGTGCTCTGTGCCGAATGCTACGGATGCTTGGCGTTCGTGCCGAGTCTTACAAGGGGCATTCAGTCTTCGTGACCTGCAGTAGGTCTCTGCTTCACTTTGATTGGTACATGCAATCTTGCAAGAGGATATGGCGTACGTGCCTCCGAGGCAGTGAGGCTCTGGGATCTACCGGTTATGGGGGCCATTATCCGGCTCAACAAGGGTGAGAAACAAAGATGTCCCACCATCTCTTTGCGCTTTCCGGATCCTGCATGTGCCTCTATCTACGCAAACGAGACTCTGTCCTTGCTGTTGTACCATTCCCCCGTTAAATCGCGAACTTGCTGCCAGGACCCGTACGTCTGTGACTGCGGCTCCATGGCGGCGGTTGTACTGTCTGCACAGTTGTGATGGTCAGTGTCAGGTAACGTAGAGAGGCAAGCGGAAGTGAGGTGTACGTAGGTATGTAGCTGCAGGGGGTGGCGGTTGCAGGAGATGGGCAGATCCGAGGAATTGGGTCACGTACTCCTTACAAAGGTCATTGATACCTCGCGGGGCTCAAAGGCACAAGAAAAGTACCGAGGCTTGAGAACCAGTTCGGGTTGGACCGGTCGGAGATGGAGTGGCGCTGCTATGGCCCCTGAAGAGCCCACCTCCAACAGCGACGGGGCCAAATTAAGGTTTACGGCAGGGTACCTGCAAAAGCCTTGGCCAACTTAACCTTGATCAAATCCAACGACGTTGCTTGACCTCGAACGCAAACGAGAATGATTCACCTGTTGGGGATTACGATGAATAAGGTAGGCATCACTCAAGTAGGGTAACCACCTACCTTGTAATAAATTCAATTAAGGCTCCAGAGCCTCGACTCCTGGTTGGCCAAGGTATCTTGTCGAGTGGGCCCCCTGGCCCAACTCGCACTTCTCTCTGGTGACATTATCGATCTTTTGGTTTCCTCTCCCTCTTGCCCTTTGACTTGTCAACGAACAACTTTTTTCGTTAATTTTTTTTTGTGAACACCACAATTAGAAAAAACGAAGCAACAATGGTCAATCTAACCGAACTTCCGCCGCCTGCCGCCGAGGCACGCGAAGAGAGAGATGAGAAACGCGTAGACGCCGCGACCCCCAAGGAGGAGAATGCCTCCCCTGCTACTGCTGATGCCGCCGCCAATGTCGCTGCCGATGCCGCCACCGAGAAGCCTGAGATGGCCGAGGAGTTACCCAAGGAAGAGAATCTTCCTGCTGCTGGGCAAAACACTCAGTCATGCACGCCCTTGTTTCCTGTGGGAAACCTCCAGCGCATAATAGATGATTGGTTTTCGGCGAGACACGCGAAGACCCCCCTGAGGGACCTGCTCCCTGCACAGTTTTCAGCCACTCTGAGCAAGGCCTGGGCTAAAAGGTAAGAGATAGAAGAGTTCGCTTCCCTAGAGGAGTTTGTCCTCTTCCACGTCGTCAAGTGCAAGCCCGAGTTAGACGTCAGTGGCCTGGATGCCATGTATGCAGACTGTCTCAACGCTGGATTCACATACCTAGTAGCAAGTAACGAGCAAGACGTGAGCACCGGGGCCTTGGAATGGCTCACGATGAAAGCGATGTGGCGTCGTCTTGGTAAGTTTTTGGTGCTTTTGCATTTGATTGTATCAACTAATGGTTTCGTGTAGGTGCTCCTGGTACCTGGCCCAAGTCGAAGGTCATGCCAGAGATCACCCGCAAGCCATATGATCGTCGCTACGCGGGCTTTAAGAAGTCGAAGACTCTAGAGGAGGAGGCCTCGAAGCAGAACAAGACTTCGGGACTCACCAAGAAGCCCGCCGCCTCTGCCCCGACACGCCAACAGCAGCCGTCGGGATATCATTCCCCAACTCTCAAAGCGAGAGGCAGACCTACTTCCAGCGCCAATCGCTCCTCGACCTACCCCGCCCCTCGGCGCCCCACCACGAGGATGGAGGTCATGCTCTATGACAACTTCTCTGCCCGAAGCAGGGCATGGGATGCCTACGGTAGGCTGGGGGGCGCGTCTTACAAGTTTGGTGCCCCGCCGTTTGAGATTGAGTTGACTGATGACAAGATGTCAGACGACTTGCTTTCGTGCCGATACAAAAATAAGGTACCGACCGCGCTTCAAGGTGTAAACAAGTACATCAAGAAGATTGACCCGAATGTCAATCTTGAGTTTGGCCACCACAGGCGTGGCAGAGTTAACATGCTGGTTCTTGCCATCAACAGTGAACCTCGAAACGAGGTGATGAAGTATGTAGGAGCTGTTTTTGAGATGGCCGCGGCCTACGTGAAGCACGCGCAAGATCGCAGAGATATCACGATTGAAATCTTCTTCAAGAACCGAGAAGCCGAGCTGAAAGCTGCGGTCACGAAGCCTCAAAGCATTGCCAGAGGCGCCGCGGCCACTACCAGCAAACTGGTTCAGTTGAGCTTTGCCAATGCCGCGGCATCCAGTCAGGACCTTTTGAGAATCAAGATGATTGAAAAGGTCAAGCAAATCCTTAAGAGCACAGATGTCAGCAGGAGACGAGTGGCCATGGACCACTTTGTCAACAACGCCCCCACTATCCTGGGGTTTGATTCCAAGGTTGTTCCCTTTGGTCCTGAGGCTTTTGCCTTTAGAGTGAAGGAGGCGTGGGCAGAGTTGCCACAGCCGGGCTCTGCGAGCAGTGCAGCCAGTTGGTACGATGGCTGGCTCATTCAAAGACACGAGAAGAGCATCGAATATGCCGCCAAAGAGCAGGCTGAAAGAGAGCGGGCCAGGTCCGCTGCTCTCCAAGTTCCCGCCCTCATGCCGCCCATGCAAGCGCCGCCTACTTTCCCCTCGGTGCCACCTATGCAATACGGAGGCCATGCATGGGTTCAACAGCAGCCGGCTTACCCTCAATCGGCCCCATCATGGCAGCAGCAGCAGCCCCCGTGGCAACAGCAGCCCCCGTGGCAGCAGCAGCAGCCGCAACAGCCATATCAGGCACCGCCTGCCCAGTGGCAGTATCCGGCACAAAGTGCCCAGTGGCAGCAGTACCAGGGTCCGAATACCCAGTAGCAGCCGCCCCAGCAGCAGTACCAGAGCGCAAGTGCTCCCTGGCAGCAGCCGCCAGGTCCGGGTCAGTACTACGGCCCGCCCCCGCCGGGTCAGGGCTACCCTGGCCAGCCACCCTATCATTAAATAGAGAGAATCTCTAGGTGAGGGCCAAAGAGGATTGGAGTTTGGGGGTGTGAATGGAGTGTGGATGAAGTGTGGGGGGAGTGTTTTTTTTTTTTTTTTGGTGTGTCGTTTTTTGGTGTGTCGTGGTGGGATGGGGGGGGGGGGGGGGAGACAAATAAATAAATAAAAAAAGAAAAAGTTCGTCAACGTGCATTATGTCTTGTTTCCATGTGATTTGTAATATTCGAAGCTTCAACCCGCTGTGAAATCGTGCTCTTGACTTGCATGTATTTGAACTGGATGCTGACTGTGCCTGTCACTTTTTGGTTCGGGTAAGGAGTGTTAGTGCTGCTGCTCTTGGGAAAGGTCCAGGTCTACGCACCTGTCCATTTGGGCTGGAACTGAGCAACGTCACCTCTTGACTACCAACTACACGTCCAAGGCATGGTGCTTCCTACTCCCTCGTTAGAATGTCCTCAGATGAGCGGTGCCAGAGCGAAGCTCTTGGCAGCATTGATGCGAGGGGATTCTTTCCACGAAGTGTCACTACTGTTCCCCCGCTGAAGTCAAAGACCTCGAAGACGCAAACATGCCCAAGGCCCCGAATGCCACGATCTTACAGCTTCAACGAGACTGTGATGAAGATTGGACCGCGTTAGAGCTGTTCCACGCTATTCCCCGAGACCTCTTGACATCGATTGTGCAAGGGACGGTTGCGTTTGATTGCGAGAATCAGCAACATCGGTATGACGAGTCCACGACAGACCCGGGAGTCTACGTAATAGCCATTAGCATCAAAGATCGTGGCGGAAAGTTTCTGAATTGGAATGAGTATCAGGCGGTGATAGCTTCTCTCCGGACCTATCTACGGGCCTTTGAGGCACTCCAGCTTGGCAGCAGCCAGTCACACGGAGATCTTACATTCGCTCGCGCAATAGACGGAATATTTGGTGGCCGTGCCATGAGGAGGAACTCACGAGAGTACGATCGGACCTGGTCCGTCCAATGCCGGGCACAGGCAGACAGTTTACGGGACTTCATCGACCCTCTCGTTCAGAAACAGGGGTCGTATCCAGGACTAGCCGGCGCAGAAGTGCACTAACATCAGAGCCCGCTCTATGTTGGATGCTCGTTCGAGCTGATGGTACGGCCAAGTATAGTAAACATGGATGACAAGTACTGAGAAGCATGGTCCCGTCAAGGTCGATCTTATATCACATGTTTTAGGAAAGAGATGTATTAAGATAATATTATCATATTTTTAATTTATTACTATTTATAATTTTAATTGTTATACTTAATTAAATCTTATACAAAAAAGGTATATTGTAAGGGATATTATAAGAGATATTATAAAAGATATTATAAGAGATGTTATAAGGGATATTATAAGAGATATTATAAGGGATATTATAAAGGTATATTATAACCTTGTGTTGTAATTATATATTATAACCTTATACTATAACTCTGAGCGACGCCGACGCTTATAAGTATTGAACTGGATTATATTTAAGGAAGGTAGGTGCCTTCAGAAAAAAAAAGAAAGATCCGTATCTACACTAGACTCCGGGGTCTATCATACAAGGAAGGCACCTTCTTTCACCACCTCGTCTCAGGTACCTTTGGTATTGAGCAATGGCAGCATGTTCTGGTAAGATGGAGGGAAACACGGTGTATCACATAAACCCCGAGGTGTGTTGAATACGGCGCAGGTCGATATACCTGTTATCCATTTCTTTAAAGCATTTACCTGTCCTCTTCCTGGATTTGCGTCTCGTCTTCTGGTGTTGAAAAGACGTCGAGGGTAGGTATGAGCCATTCTCACAAACACATCGGAGCAATCCCTTGGATATTAACTTTGATTAGAAAACTACTTGCTACTCCTACACAGGAATACCAAGAAAAAAGGGTGGGGGTATAAGTCAAAAAAAGTATCTAAAAGAGTCCCAGACGCCAAACAACGCATGTGCCGAACATGCCTGGGCGATGGGGACGTCTGTCTGTCTGATTTGGAAATCTCTCTTCTCACCCACTCGAAAAACAAAAGAAACGCCGTGCAGACGATAGCCTCCCAAACTCCTAAACCTGAGCCGACCTCGCGCGATCAACGCTGGGCCGCCGACGTCCGTCCTCCTCTGGCTGCGTCTTGTGCTGCTCCCCGCCAGCCGTGCCATTAATCTGGGCTCCATCCTTCGACTTGGACCCAGAAGCCTCTTCCCTGTCTTGTGCGTCTTCTGCGGCAGCCTTGTCTTTGGCATCCGCGCGGTCCGCCGCTTCGGCCCGCGCTTCCCCTTCCTCGTTCTCGGCAATATCATCTCTCCTTTTGGATGAGTTCTTGTCCGAGCCCTCCGAGTTCTCCTGATCCTCAGCAGACTTGCGCGCCCGCGCGGTTTCGGTCGACCGCCTCGTATCAACACTATGTCTCGTCGCAGGACTCTTCAACTTCTCATCCGCCTTGCGAAGCTCCTTCTCCGTACCGACAACGGTGCTCATATCCTCGCCATTCTTGATCGCCTGTAGGGTACGGTCGGTAATGTCGACGCTCTCAAAGGCTGCGTGATTGACTCGCTGCTTCTTGTGCGAGAAAACCCCCTTGATACCTTGCTTCTTCTCGGCCTCGAGGGTCTCTAGGAGTTCTCGGATGGTATACCAACCAGTAATTACGTCCTTATCGGTTTGCTTCTTGGAATCGCCTGGAAGGTTCCGTCTTTCGCGCTGGCCCTGTACAAGACGGGCCCGACGGACGACTCGATCGGGCTGTTTCTTTCGTTCGACTTGCTTGGCGATGCCCTTCAGGGTGTAGCCAAAGGGACTGATGATAGCGCTGAGATCTTTGAGCACGAATCCCGTGAGACCCATGCCTGTTCCCTTGACGAATCCCTTGACACCCTCCTTCTTGGCACCCCGGACGGGTAGGCGAACGAGGCCGGTCGTGCCGTCGTAGATGCCGTAAGCGAATTCCTTGCCGGCCGCCTTCAATCCAGAGCTGATGCCGGTAACACGTGGCGGGCGTCGAACGGTATCGTCACCGTAAAGCCGAGGAGCGTTGTGGAACCCTTGAGCGATGGCCATGGATAGGTCTACCGGTGCCCTCGCGAGGGCTTGTGCCGATTTACCCACGCCCTCGCCAACCTCATTGGCATAGTCTCCAACGGCATCGTCGACGGTGGTTCCAGTATCGATTGATGACATTGTATCGCGTCGTTCCTGCGCACCCGGTCTTGCAGAAGAAGCGTTTCCGTTGGCTTGAGATTGCTCTCCCTTCTTGTCGTCTTGCTTCTCATCTTTATCTCCCTCTCCCTCCTTGGATTTTCCTTCGTCTTTCTTCTGCGCTTTGCTGTCCTCTCCACCCTTTGCTTTCGCCTTGTCTCCCTCCTTCTTCGAGTTGTCTTCGTCACCCTCCTGCGGTTGCAGCGCGCCGTTGCTGTTGGTAGCGGCCTTGCGTTCCTTGGCACTCGTGCGCTTATCTCGGAGGGCCCTCAACTTCTTCTTCTTTTCCTTCTTCTCCTTACGCTTATGTGACGTCTTGGCAATTCTGTAAGGAACACTACCGATACCACCAAAGACGTTGCCCATCGTCCCGGCCAGAGAGCCCGCGATTCCAGTGACCGGTTCTCCAGGGCCCTCAAAATCGTTCCATTCCGTGTGCCGCAGCAGCCTGAGCTTTTTCCATGAAAGTTGTCCTTCCTCGACAATGATGTCGGCAGCGAGAGCGCTGAGCTTGACATTGGTGTTCTTCAGTGTCCAGACTGCCGGGCGGTCGCGCAGAATAGAGCAGCGCATCGAGTTCATGCCTCCCAGAGTCAGGTGGTGGTGGAATGATCGCACTGCATTCTTGGCGCCGTCGCCTTCTAATTCGATGTCTTTGGCGACCTTGGCAGCCGCTTCTTTCGCCTCGTCTGTGAGGCAGTACTTGATGCCCTCGGCGAGCTTCTCGGCGTCGAGTTGCTTGTAGGGTACAGCCTCGGGTCCGGCTTTGCTTGTTGCGAGAATGCTTCCCCAGAAATGCTGGTCGCCGAAAAAAGGCACAATCATGGTCGGCAGACCGCACTTGAGAGCGATCGCGGTGGTTCCGGCTCCGCCGTGGATGACGCAGGCCTTGACTCGGGGGAAAAGCCAGTCATGAGGCGTGTTCTCCAGCATGAAAATGTTATCGGGAACATCCATTTCGTCACCTCCCAAGCCACCCCAGCCCTTTGAGACGAGCGCGCGGACTCCGGCAAGTTCTACAGCCTCAAAGATCATCTGGGTAAAACGATCTGCATCATCGACGACGATTGAGCCGAAACCAATGTAGATAGGTGGTTCCCCGGCATCCAAAAACTTCTCCAAGTCGCTGGGTGGGTCAAAAGTCGAAGCCAAGTCGAGGAAGACAAATCCAGACACGTCAATTTCTTCACCCCAATCCTGGGGCTTAGGGACGAGACCAGGACTCCAGAGGTAAGTGAAGGGAACATGCAGACGATAGGTCGCGCCAGGAGCCCAAAGTGTCGAGACGGCGTCCAATCCAAGGGTCTTGACGCGGAAGTCATTGACTAAGTCGCCCAAACCCTGCCAAACCATCATCTCGACTAGGGGGTATGAGATGAAGTTGGTATAACCGGGGTCCACGTTGGATTTCTTGATGCTGGCCAGGGGATGAGGGAAAGCCTGAGTCGGGGTGTAGGGGAATGTGAACATAAGATGCAACGGGATGCCGAGGGCCTCTGCGCAATGAATATGGGCGAAACTGGGAGGGTTGGCAATAATGGCGTCAGCGATAAAGGGGTCCTTCTCACCCATCATCTTGAGGTTGTGGACATCCTTCTCGTCGTCGGTGGCATTGATGCAAGCTCTCCAAAAACCGTCAAACATCTCCGCCATGGCCGATCGTCGTCGTCCAATGTCTCCGGCCT